ATTCACAAATGCGTGCAGCTATCTACAAATGCACAGGACACGATTCGCAAATAAATGCCAGGCAAAGTTGTGGTTGTGACATAAATATTTGTGAATGTTTTTTATTTGCAAATCTCATTTTATTTATTTGTGAATTTAATTCATGTTTGTGAAACTTTAAGATTTATTTGTGGATCTCATTCTATTTATTTGTGGATCATAATCTATTTATTTGGAATTAAGCAACAATTCTACCCCCATAAGTGCTCTACTACATATCTGCCACAGTGTGGCACAAAACTTTACTGAAGAAAATAAATAAGGGCGTTTAGAAAAATGCATAACAGGAGTATTCGTATGATTTAGCCCAGACATAAACAATTTGGTGGTTAGCCGTGGTGTGAGATTAGGAGCCACAGCAGTATAAGCAAGACGAGAGAATGTTAGCAACAAACTAAAATAGAATTCACACACACATATATATTATGATTTATGCACTCTTAGTCTTAGGCTATCCAGTGTGTTCATGTAATGTGATTGATGGAGGTTAGCTGGCACGGGGTTCATGTCTGGTTCATAAATAGATGCTGTCACAAAATGTCATACCTGAATGTTTTTCCTCTTAACCCACACAAAAGATAAAATCGGCGATTGTGTATAAAATGATCACAGCAGTCGAATGAGGTCAGTCTATGATATTGGGTCATGAGGAACATTTTTGCTCCAACTAGTCTATTTGAACATAACTATTTTACAACTGGGTTGCTGTTTGACTGAGATCACATGGTTTCATGGGTCTGATGTCACTGAGACAGGAACCCAGAGAAATAATAAGGTTAATGTTAGGGATGTAATGTTACTTATTTCTGATTATGTATGTACGTATGGCTATGATGAAATACAAATTCAACAAAAAGTGGGAGAGCACGTTTTGGCTATTTTGAGATTGGTGTCTAAATTTTTCAAATAAATAAGCATCTAGGTTGTCTCATACATACATAGTTATTCTCTCATTCTGTAGAGCAGAGAAAGCAATGCCTGCAACCAGCCAGTTCAAATCCAAGTCACAGTCTATAGATGTTTAGACCTTCTGGCATTTGACCACTAGAAGGCAGCGTTCAATTGAATGCAAAATACAACACCGTAGAAAACAAGTCTTTCAGCTTGTCTGTGCAATCGCAAAGTCTGTCGCTGTTTATATCCACCATCAGGGGTGCCACTATGGTTTCCGGGCCCCTGAACATCATTGAGTTTAACATTGATATGAACAAATATTTAGATGTAACCCCCTTTGTAATCGTTAACATTTTCATTAGTAACTGTAATTTAATTACACACTTTTTTTTTCTCAGTAGGCTATCTGTAACAGATTACAGTCACATTTATTTTGTAATTAAATTACGTAACTCGGTTACATGTAAATAGTTACATCCCAACACTGATTATTATTCATAAACTTATAGAAAATAACCAAAACAATCCAAGGTTTTTATTTAGCACATTGGCTAGATTAACAAATAACCAGACGCCACCCGATCTAAATATTCCCTCACAGTTTAATAGTAATGACTTTATGAATTTCTTCACTGATAAAATAGATAACATCAGAAATACAATAACAAATGTAGATTCTACAGCGTATAATACTTCAGCTTCATTCATCGCACCAAAAGATAAACTGCAGTGCTTTACAGCTATAGGACAGGAAGAGCTAAATAAATTTATCACTGCATCTAAACCAACAACATGCCTGTTAGATCCTGTACCCACTAAATTACTGAAAGACTTGTTACCTGTAGCAGAAGAACCGCTTCTCAATATTATTAACTCGTCGTTGTCTTTAGGTCACATCCCAAAACCATTCAAGCTGGCGGTTATTAAGCCTCTTATTAAGAAACCACAACTAGATCCTAGTGAACTGGCAAATTACAGCCCCATTTCAAATCTTCCTTTCATGTCTAAAATTTTAGAAAAGTTGTGTCTGCTCAATTGTGCTCCTTCCTGCAAAAAAATATCTTTGTGAAGAATTTCAGTCAGGATTCAGGCCCCACCATAGCACAGAAACCCACTATCAAGAAATATATATTTTTTTAAAGACAGAAAAAGTCTGACTCTGTTTAATATTGTTACTGTAATAAAATAGCATATGCAAATACATGCAGCTCAATGCAATATATGAACAATGTAAAATAAATGTGTGGAGCAAAACAAATGCTGTTGTAGGGTTTTAATGATACATGTAGTGGTTCTGATGACCCTCTAGTCCACATTGAATGGCTCAGATTTTGCCCTGTTCTCGCAAGAGACTCATTAGTTGGAATTATGAGTAAAATAATACGATTTCCACAAAATGGGTACAGCGCTAATCTATGCAAAAAGTCTGAGACCACTGGTGAAAATGCTTTTATTTTTATAATTGTGACCGTGGACCACAATTTTCTTTTTTTTAAATTGAGATTTATACATCATCTGAACGCTGAATTTATAAGCTTTCCATTCGCATATGGTTTGTTAGGACAATATTTGGCTGAGAAACAACTATTAGAAAATCTGGAACCTGAGCTTGTGAAAAAAAAATCTCAATATTGAGAAAATCGCCCTTTAAAGTCGTCAAAATGACGTTCTTAGCAATCAAAAATTAAGTTTTGAAATATTTACAGTAGGAATTTTACAAAATATCTTCACGGAACATGATTTTTATTTTTGGCATAAAAGAAAAATTGATCATTTTGACCCATACAATGTATTGTTGGCTATTGCTACAAATATACTCGTGCGACTTATGACTGGTTTTGTGCTCCAGGGTCACATTTTACTGCAGTTTTCATTACAAATTACACAATTTCAGTGAGAAGATTATAATATTTGGTTTTTCACTCCAAACCGTACGACTTTCTTCTGTGGAGAAATTTTAGTAATGTGCAGTTTATGCTTTTTTAAAATGCATTTATAATGAATGTGGACTCCAAGGATTTCAAGATTCAAAACACCATAAAAATGATCTAGTAGCAAACATTAACAAATCTAGTTTATGTACAACTTCTTAAAAAAATAACTATTTGAACTGATCGAAATTTAAGTCATTATATAGTGATAATATTCACCTCCAATGAGCTGTAACTGCTTCAACTAGATCAGTGAGTCATCAGTGAGCCGAACGGATCAGTTGGATTTGTGAACAAATCATTCAGAACAGAACTGGTCATTGAATTCATTGATTCGTTGAATGAACAGTCTCAAGAGTGATTCATTCACAACTCAAATATTACTTTATAACAAGTGTTATAAAAACACTCAAGATCAAGGACAAGTATCAATAATTACATTTCTTTAAGATTCTACATGTTTAAATTTAAACATCAATGTAAATTTAAACAAATTTATGTTCCACAGATAAAAAGAAAGATTTGAAACAACATGAGGCAGAATAAATGACGACAGATTTTGGTAACACTTTACAATAAGGTTTCATTTGTTAACATTAGGTAACTGCGTTAGTGAACATGTACTAAAAATGAAAAATACTTCTAAAGCATTTATTAATTTTAGTTCAAATCTGCTGTGTTAAAATCAAAAGTTTTATCTGTTAATATTATTTAATGGACCTGAACTAAGATTAACTAATAGAGAACAAATATGTTTTTATTAACTGACATTAAAAGAGATTAATAATACTGTAAAACATTTGTATTGGTTCTTGTTAGTTAATGTTAGTTAATGCATTAACCGGTGTTAAGTAATGGAACCTTGTTGTAAGTGTTACCCATAATTTTCATTTTTGGGTGACCTAATCCAGTTAACATGGTAAATGTGACAAACTGACTTATTTGATGAGTGACAGAAATAAATAGTGGAGAAACTTTAATATATTTATCATTATTTTACATGTTGATAATTACTTAGAAGTAACTTACATTTTTGTCAAAAATAAAAAAAAATGAGTTGGTTCATATATTTCTCTTGTCAATAAAATAGTTCTAAAAGATGCCAAATAAATAAATAAAGTTTTAGAAACTTGTATAATTCTAAATAAACATTACCAATATATAATCAAACCAAAATTTAGTCAGACGCCTTCAACATTTCTCACATTATCAAAGTTTATTCGCTATAGTTTAGAAAATGGTAATAAAATATGACAAGAACTTTAAGTACACAATTAGATAAAACCAATTTAGGTCAACCAACTACCAAGCAAAGCTTTATTTTGTTCAGTCTGTGGTGTAAAACGTTGAAATAGTGGAGAAACTTTAATATATTTATCATTATTTTACATGTTGATAATTACTTAGAAGTAACTTACATTTTTGTCAAAAATAAAAAAAAATGAGTTGGTTCATATATTTCTCTTGTATAGTTCTAAAAGATGCCAAATAAATAAATAAAGTTTTAGAAACTTGTATAATTCTAAATAAACATTACCAATATATAATCAAACCAAAATTTAGTCAGACGCCTTCAACATTTCTCACATTATCAAAGTTTATTCGCTATAGTTTAGAAAATGGTAATAAAATATGACAAGAACTTTAAGTACACAATTAGATAAAACCAATTTAGGTCAACCAACTACCAAGCAAAGCTTTATTTTGTTCAGTCTGTGGTGTAAAACGTTCGCATTAGCAATTAAAGTAAAAACACTTAAGCAAAACATGGTCAGGTCAAAGTGTCTGAATAATTTTTGGTCCCAGATTTTTATCAGTTTTACTGGTAGTCCACTGTATGAAGAATTTTTGGGTATAATATGTCACAGTTTACTTTATTTTGCTTTCCTCACTTGCATAAATTAACTATAGTGTCCTACAGATAGTTAAAAAATATCCAAAATTATATCTGGTGTCTGAATAATTTTTGGTTTGACTGTAAATTTTTAAAAAATTCTTCTAATTGTTAGTTCATTTGTTACCCCAAAAGATGCATGTCAGAGACTTTTCTCTTTATTTCTATGAATTTACGTTTATTAACTATCATTTAAAGTCGTCATTTACTGTATTTATTATAATGCTCTACATATAATCTTCTCAGGAACTCATCCATGCCCCTCATCAGCCCAGTCTTGACCTTCCAGATTTCGAAAAGTGAGGCACAAGCACTTTATTTCTGAGCCACATCAACCCACACAGCTGGTGTCTTCAGCACCTCAGTGGACTCATGGGTACCGTACTGTCCCTCTCCCCGGGTCCTCGGAAACCCGGTTATTATGACGACCGGCCTGGTTCTCTAAGCCATTACCCGAGCCTGAGCAGCCGCTCGCTGAACACTCAAAAAGACCCTAACCACAAACGCGGGCACTCCATCTTCCTCCCCGCTCTCACCTGGAAACGCCTGGTGGCCTCCACCAAGAAGCGGGGCGAGTCCAAAAAAGCCTATCCTGGAGGTCAAGGGGCTGTCGGGGCTCCTCTCAACAACAATAACATCTACCAGAAGGATCCGGTCTTGCACCTCAACTGCGAAAATGTGAAGAAGTCTCTCTCCTGCGCCAACCTCACTAGCTACGATGGTCCAGCGGGTTTGGGCCTGGGCGTAGGGCTGGGTGTGGGATACAACAAACCGCAGCAGATTTCCTCCGTAAAGAAGATCGCGCCCACATGCACCTCCTCGCCTAAGCGCGTGATCGTCCAGGCCTCGACCAGCGAGCTGCTCCGCTGCCTGGGCGAGTTTCTGTGTGGCCGCTGCTATCGGCTCAAGCACCTTTCCCCCGCCGATCCGGTCTTGTGGCTCCGCGCTGTGGACCGCTCACTCTTGCTCCAGGGCTGGCAGGACCAGGCCTTTGTGACACCAGCCAACGTGGTGTTTGTGTACATGCTGTGCCGCGATGTGGTGGATGGCGACGTGGTGTCTTCAGAGCATGAGCTCCAAGCAATTCTCCTTACCTGCCTGTACCTGTCGTACTCCTACATGGGGAACGAGATCTCGTACCCGCTCAAGCCCTTCCTGGTGGAAGCGGCTAAAGAGGCATTCTGGGACCGTTGTCTGGCCATTATCGACATCACCAGTACCAAGATGCTGCGCATCAACGCAGACCCGCATTTCTTCACGCAGGTCTTCGCCGACCTGAAGAGCGAAGGAGGCTGCGCTTTGCAGGACTACGCTAGAGTTCTGGATCGGTGAAAAGAGGACGAGGCGGATTGTCTCTGTAAATGTGACACCGTCAACATCTAGCACCTTCATTCCATCATTCTGGCCCTCCATATGCCTTGTCACTTGACATTATGAGTCTTGTTTCTACTGACCATTCTTCAAGAAACAGAAGAAACATATTCCTGCTGAAACGACCAGCTTAGACCTGTGAGAACATCCAGGTGTATGTTGGTTTGGTGCTGGTCTAACTGTTGAACTACACAGTCTTTTTGGAGGTTATGTTAGTTAAGAATCATGCTGATAAGAATCTGCGATGGTCTTTTCAGCAGGAGAAGAAAGTATAGTGAGCTTTTGGATACAGAAACATAAAACACGCTCTTAAAAATGTTCTTTACTGGCATTAATGGTTCCATGAATAACCTTTAACATCCATGGAATCTTTCCATTCCACAAAAGGTTCTTTATTGTAAAGTAAGGTTCTTTAGAGTTTTAAAATGTTCTTCGTACTAAAGAATCATGTTTCTTTAAGGAACTGTTTGCTGAAAGGTTCTTTGAGGAACCAAAAATGGTTCTTCTATGTAAGGGGTATCCATTCCTGCTCCTGGAGGGCAGAGTTTAGCTCCAACACACTTGCCTGGAAGTTTTTAGTGAGTCTGAAGACCCGGTTTCAGTTGTGTTTATTTAGGGTTGGAGCTAAAATAGGCCTAAACTAAACTAAGCCCTCCAGGAACAGGTTTCTGGATCTATGGTTTTGCTGCAAAAACACCCTTTTGGCTAAAGGTTCTTCAGATTTAAAAAATGTTCTTCATACTAAGAATTTTTTTTTTTAAGCTGTTCACTAAAAGGTTATTTTAGTGAACTTGGCTGAACCCAAAATGATGCTTCTATAGTGTCACTACAAAAAAATCCTCTTTTTGGAAGTTTTTTATTTATTTATTTATTTTTTCAAAGTTCAAAGTGGACATTCCCAACTTTTTTCTTTCTCATTCAACTCCCCTATCTTAAAAATTAAATATAGTCATAATTTAGGGATGCACATCAAAAAGAAGGGAGAACTCCATCTGCATAGAAGTTTAGTAGTTACCCTGTTGTCAACCCACTGTTTTTCAAAAGTAGTTACGATTCCTTTACTAAACATTTCAGTTCCTCTACCTTTTTGACATCTAGTCTGAGAGAAACTGCAACAGAAACCATCCAACAAAGAGCATTTTAGTGAGAGTGCATGTGTGTGATGGGCAGCAAACAGTGAGCGTCAACAGCTGTTGGTTATCGTGTTGTCCTTCCTTTATTTCATGTGCTGGACGTTGGGGCACCAGCTGCAATGGCATTAACAAGATTAACAGATTAGTGTCACACACACACACACACACACGCACAAACAAGTGAGAAACAAGTGTTCTCAATGCTTCTGCTTGCTATCCAGCTCTATAAGTTGAATGGCTAATCCATGTAGGCCATATATACTTGTATATGTTCTGTCCTGCATATCTTAGTGTCTGTATAGCAATAGAGTAGCATTGAAAATATGTTTCAAATTTGAATGAGTCTATAAGAATGCATCCGTTCCCTTTAGATTGTGAAGGAAATGAACAAAGAGGCCTGATTCTCTTAATGCTCTCAGATCACTGTTGTTCACGTGTTGCTCAGTCATATTTGACATAAATATCATATTTATGTCCCTTAAAGTCAACCAAAATGGACCTTTCCTAAAACACACACCTGGTTTTATTGTGCACTATTTATCAGCGCACATTGCTCCCAAGTTTGTAGTATGTAATCATCCATCAAAACCTGCTCCGACTCTTGCAGTAATGATAAAGCAAGTAATAGATAAAACGCGCATACTGACAGTCACGGATGCCCATGCAGATACAACAGATGCCCTCTTCTCTGGGTCAGGGTTTCAGGTGTCAGCGCTCAGACAGAAGAGCAGGGACAGCAGCATGTGGCACGGCAAGCACTCGTTAATCTTATTGTGGCGTTTTAAGGCAGGACCATGGGCGCCATACTCCAGCTCCCCCGCAAAAGCCGACTTTAAACGCATACTTCAGCCCACACATGCTCTAGTATATGAGCACACATGCTTGCTCAAACGTTCTGTAACCACTACATATACATTTTCAGGCTAGTAATTGCGAACGCACTGATACGCACGTGCATATGCATGCACCTTCTCCCACACGCTGAAGCGATAATCCGCTTTTGATCCTTGCCAGCAATTTGGTAGAGTGAGCTGAAAATGGCACAATAACAAAATGCCATTCAGATCAGATGAGATTTCTCTTGCTGAAAGTAGCAGAAAAGGCACACCTTGTGTTTTGACTGCGCTACGCAGATGTTACATAAGAAACACAGGAAAACAGAACTGTGAACTTTAAACAAGTACTTGCATAATAGTTTTTTTTATAAAATAATTGTGAGGGATTGAAGGAAAAACAAAGGCGCTCAGACAGAAGAGCAGGGACAGCAGCATGTGGCACGGCAAGCACTCGTTAATCTTATTGTGGCGTTTTAAGGCAGGGCCATGGGCGCCATACTCCAGCTCCCCCGCAAAAGCCGACTTTAAACGCATACTTCAGCCCACACATGCTCTAGTATATGAGCACACATGCTTGCTCAAACGTTCTGTAACCACTACACATACATTTTCAGGCTAGTAATTGCGAACGCACTGATACGCACGTGCATATGCATGCACCTTCTCCCACACGCTGAAGCGATAATCCGCTTTTGATCCTTGCCAGCAATTTGGTAGAGTGAGCTGAAAATGGCACAATAACAAAATGCCATTCAGATCAGATGAGATTTCTCTTGCTGAAAGTAGCAGAAAAGGCACACCTTGTGTTTTGACTGCGCTACGCAGATGTTACATAAGAAACACAGGAAAACAGAACTGTGAACTTTAAACAAGTACTTGCATAATAGTTTTTTTTATAAAATAATTGTGAGGGATTGAAGGAAAAACAAAGGTTTCACTTATTTTAAAAGCATGTTTCACCCTTGTGAAAAAGAAGTGTTTAATTGTATTGAATGTGCACATGTAGTGCACTTCAAATCTTAAAAGTATGTTTTTTTAACATACTTAATATAGAAATGCCACTTAAGTGTACTTAAAAAGACAACACTTTCCTGACTGTTTCCTAATACACTTAAGTATATGATTAAAAGTTCACTTTGTAATAATGTCAAATTAGAAGTTTTACTTTAAAGTAAATTTGTTTTAATCGTGCTTAATCTTTTGTTGTGTTTTGTGTGTTGAAGTACCCTTATTTTGATATCTGACTAACATACTAAAGCACATGGAAAGTACTTGATTATAAATTTAACTGTAGTCTGTTATTCAATATTACGTTTAAAGTTAATATATTTTAAATGTACTAAATTGCAACTTCATTACAAATGTGTAAATTACAAATATATATTAAATATATGAAATACAATTTTCATAACTTCTTGTCAGTATAATTTGCATTATGGTTAGTGTAAATGTACTGCAAAATGTGCTGACAAGCATATAATACAGTTTTATTTAGTATGGTAAAGTGTACTTCTTTTCATGCGGGTAGAGACACCATGCAATTTAGATTGGAAAGGCTTTTAGTTTTGAAGCATATATATGCTAATGCTCCCAATAAACGGACAAAATAGCTTTTATCAAATATACAACTTTAAAATTCACAGTCTTTCCCTTCCAAAAAAAAAACAAAACAAAACATAAATATTAATGACTCACTCATCAATTTTTTCCCAATCAAATGCTCTCTGTAATGAGAAAGTCCCTGCTAAAACCACATACTTCTGACTAGCAATAGAAAGTTATGATTTAAACCAAATGCCATCCCCATTTAAAAAAAAAAAAAAAGAACAAGCCCTTTGATATGTCCTGCCCCAACTTCCTGTTTCAACAGGATATGTCACTACAAAGAATAAAATTGCAATTGTCTAAACTTTTTATGGGATCTTTAGCATGTTTGAATGGTGTAATGCTACAGAAAGATACAGATATTAAGAGAACATAGTTTGAAATATGATCACAAACACTCTTAGCATGAGTTGTTCTCAGTTTGTAGCAGATTTAATTTCTGACCCAAACACAGGCTGATTTGTACTCGGCAATTTTCCCTTGCTAAACAGCAGGGAAGACAGTTGCATAAAGGAAGTACCTATAAAGCGAGTCGGTGTGTCTAAAGATCTCCATTTCAGCCTCTAGTCGTTTCCATTTCAGCCTCAGGGGAGGATGTTATTTACAGGAACTTGTGGCCACAGACAAGCGATCGGCGTACTATAGGGTGTAAATATCCCTCCTGATCTGCTGTGATTCCCCCATCCCTCTCGCCTTTCACAAACACATCACTTGTTTACCTCGCCTCGGTTAAAGTGATTTAGTTTGCCCTTATTGTGCACAGAGAGCGCTGACAGAGTGCCGTTGTTGCATAGCCAGTGTGTGCAGCCTTAGCAATGGGCTTGTGCGACGTTAACTAGTCTGCTGTGCTTCTGTTTGCGCCTCCTGTCTGGCTCGCCATCGTGCACTGCCGCTCAAACTGTTCCTCCATTGTTTCTTAGCATGTTTGAATGGTGTAATGCTACAGAAAGATACAGATATTAAGAGAACATAGTTTGAAATATGATCACAAACACTCTTAGCATGAGTTGTTCTCAGTTTGTAGCAGATTTAATTTCTGACCCAAACACAGGCTGATTTGTACTCGGCAATTTTCCCTTGCTAAACAGCAGGGAAGACAGTTGCATAAAGGAAGTACCTATAAAGCGAGTCGGTGTGTCTAAAGATCTCCATTTCAGCCTCTAGTCGTTTCCATTTCAGCCTCAGGGGAGGATGTTATTTACAGGAACTTGTGGCCACAGACAAGCGATCGGCGTACTATAGGGTGTAAATATCCCTCCTGATCTGCTGTGATTCCCCCATCCCTCTCGCCTTTCACAAACACATCACTTGTTTACTTGTTAAAGTGATTTAGTTTGCCCTTATTGTGCACAGAGAGCGCTGACAGAGTGCCGTTGTTGCATAGCCAGTGTGTGCAGCCTTAGCAATGGGCTTGTGCGACGTTAACTAGTCTGCTGTGCTTCTGTTTGCGCCTCCTGTCTGGCTCGCCATCGTGCACTGCCGCTCAAACTGTTCCTCCATTGTTTCTCACCCATGTGTACTGAAGCTCTGGGATTTCTCTGGAATATTTGCTGCCTTCAAGTCATATGGGAAGTTCCTGTTTATGAGTTTATAAATCGTAATTATGACATGATGTACGTTCAAGCGATTTTGGTTGGAATGAAGTTGATTCGCTGGCCAATTTTCTTGTTTTTCTCTTCCTGACTATGTAAAGGAGGCGTAAGGTGTAAAACTCGTTAGCTTTATTACAAATCCCCATCAATTTATACAAAATGCATACAAACTAAATTGTATACAGACTATAAATGATAAATTCACTGACA